AATGCTTAACAAGTTTGACTTTAGCCCTTTCACATAAAGCACATCAGAGAGTGACAACATATTTACCAAGTATAGGTGCAGTAAGCCGCTATTCCAATCAATAAGAGAAGAGAACAGGGCCTTGTCACCACACATATGTCTAGAACAAGCACTATCAAGGTACCACATAGGGACATTTGGGCCTTAAGTGCGACGTGGGCAACATAAAGTTCATCTGATCATTTGACCTTGATACATCAATCTTCTTAACCCAAACCATTTCAACTTCTTTATCAAATTCTATGGTAGCTATAGATGCAACGGTCATGAGCCTTTGATTATCTACTTCACCAGACGTATCACTCTGAACACTAGAATCTGATTCATCATCACTTAAGGTCACAGCTAAAGCCTTACGTCTACCGTTATTAGAATTCCTTCTCAAGTTAGGACATTCATTCCTATAGTGACCGTAGCCATAACACTCATGGCATCTAGAAGATTGGGTTTTCTTATTAGCAGTCCTAGAATCACTCTCTTCACGATTATCCTTCATGAATTTACTAGGGAATCCAGTTTTTCGTTCTTGAGGTTTTCTCCTATTCTTCATCACCCTCTGAAATTTTTTAATGAAATAAATAATTCCGTCGTCTCTAAGGATCTTAGTATCAGTGGACTCGCTCTCCTCTTTTCTAATGGTGTTCATGACGATAGATTTAACATTTTAAGGTTGAGAAACAGTGAGTTCATAAATTTGAAGTGATCCTACAAGTTCTTCAATCTTAACTGCATCTAAGTCCTTTCTCTCTTCTATCGCAGTCACCTTAGGTATAAACCTCTCAGGTAAGGATCTATGGACTTTCCTAACGATTTTGGTCTCAGAAATCCTTTCACCTAAGTTAAAGCTAGAGTTAACAATATCATTCAGCATCGCATAGAATTCATCTAACGATTCATCGTCCTTCATTCTAATCTCTTCAAACTTAGTGATTAACATCTACAGTTTAGAGTTTTAAATAGTTTTGTTACCCTCGTGTGTGGTTTCTATTATATCCCAAACTTTTTTAGCAGTTTCACACATCGACACTCGCCTAAACTCTTCAACAGATACAACCATGAACATAGCATGTAATGCTTTACTGTTCCAGTTACATTCATCAAGTTTAGTTTTAGTCCATAGAGATATGTCAGTGGGTGTGACTACAACATCAACAGTTGTTGAAGGTGGAGCCCACCCATTTTGAACACTAATCCAAATACGTTCATCCAACGATTTAGGGAAGGCTCTCATTCGAACTTTCCAGTAGGCATAGTTGCTTCCGTTAAAAAATGGAAGCACAGATAATGACTGACTCATCTAGATGTTATAAAGGGTCAGGAATTGAATTAAGGCTCTGATACCAATTGAAAGTTACGCAGTTTGACCCTAACAATACTTAAACAAGGGTGAAGTATATTATGCGGAATTAAAAATATTATAACAAATTAGCAACAAGTCACCAATTGTTATCTCCAGATGGTTACACAATCAAGTCAATTTAATCCTATGTTTGAATACAACAAATTATATAAACAATAAATAAAGCAGTAAATCAACACATGGTATGATCACAGAGAAACCCAATTGGAAAAACATCAGGCACCTTGCTAGTCAACAATCCACTATAAATGATTTGAACAACTTACAGTCTATCAGACTAGACGACTCATACTATCTGATCACTCAACTGAACTCCTTACAGCTCTCCCAGAATCCCGTGCTCCCCAGTACCAATCATTAGCTGCTGTTGCCAAAGCTCTCCGTAGAATCTGCTACCCTACAGCACTCCTAGCCTTGTGGAATTATCTATTTCCCGTGGATCAACGAAGAACACCGCTTTCTTCACAGACTGGAACCCAGTCAAACTTCCTCGATCTTCAGAACTCTGATCAGATGTAGAAGAAAGACGGTTTAGTATTTGGATTATATAAACGTTGTTTTTCTCACCAAAACAATCAAAGTAGATGAAGGTTGAAAGATAGCGTCGAATGAATCTCTCACAGATGAAGCTCTCTCAATGTTCAACCTCACCAATTTTCTCTCACAAATGTAGCTCTCTCAATGTTCAACCTCATCAGTTTTCGTATAAAAGTGTTTTGGATATATAGGTACGTTAGAAAAACGAATGGACCAGGGAAAAAGCGTTTAAATCTAGAAATAAATTTTTTTCGAATAAACTTGTCGATCGAGCGAGGGCTTAGCGACAAACTGTCACTCGAGCGAAGTAGGGGCGACAGTCCAGCAACAATGTTTTTGCTTTTGTAGCTTGAGCCAAATCTTGGAGACAGTCTAGCGAAAATCCGCGCCGTTTTTCTCTTTTTACCATTCTCGAACCCTAGACCTAATAACTCTATTTTCAACTATTTGCACATTACTCATTGACTTTTTAAATATAGTACAATACAGTCCTTTTGTTTACAGAATCGCCAAGTACAAAATATCGAAAACCTAACATATATAATTCATGTCCTCGAAGACAGTACGAAATACAGATCTAGAAACATATTAAAAGAATAAACCGCAATAAACGACAATTGTTTTGTTACTCCAAATCTTTATATTCAAGAAGAAAAAATTAATATATTTATAAATTTATTTTTTTCACAAATAACTCACCGAGCTTTAAAATGCTTCTAGTAGTAAATGAACTTTAACACGTTACACTTCATTACTCACTCATCATGTTTTATTAATCATTTAATTTTAAAATACTTTCGAGTGATTACTGAAATTTAATATGTTGCGCTCCATCACTTATTCATCATTTTTCATTAGTCATTGAACTTATACTTTTGTTACCTTTTATTAACTGAATTTTAAAATACTTTTGAGTGGTTACTGAACTTTACTCACAGAATCCAACTATTCAAAAATAAGAAAAAAAATAAAAAATGTAAGTATAAATACTATATATGAAGACATCACCCTTCCTTCCTCTTGAATTACCTTATAACAATTCTAGGAATTATATTTTGTTAGTCTTGATTAAAATTATTGACTATAAATTGAAAATTCACTATCTATTTGAGATTTAATTTTTTTATTTTCTTGATTACGATCCCAATTGAAATAAAGAGCCCTTGTTTGATGGCAATTATGAAGAGAAATTTAAGGAAAATGATGTTTTGAATAATGATTTTTTGGCTAATGTGTGGTTAAAAATAGAAAAAAAAATTGAATTTATGTGCAAAATATTTTATTGTGTGAATTTTGTGACTGAAAATGAGTGTGAGAAATAAAAAGTTTTGTATTAACGGGAGTCAAACAGGGGCCTAAATTTCATGTCAATTTGAAGTTAACATTCTTCTTTCCCCTTGATCATAACTTTTAACGACTAGAGAAATTAGATTTAGAGTTTCATTATCTGGATGATATTTATTTTATTTTCTTGATCTAGATCGATAATAATAGAAAATCAATTTTACTCGAAAACATCATAAGTATAGAACCACCAAGTGGTAAATTAAGCCCCTATTTGACAATCATTATTAGGAAACTCTTTTTTTTCTACATACTTATTTTCAGCTACACATTTATATAATAAAATAATCTGCACGTAAACCTAAAATATTTCTTTACTTTTTAACCGCATATTCTTTTAAAAATTACTATTCAAACCATTGTTTTTTTTTTTCCTAATCAATGGTCATCAAACAAGTGGCTTAAGTTTTGTGAAAAAAATGTAACAGATATATAAGTTCAGTTACTAATGAAACATGGTGAATTAGTAATAAAATGCAACGCGTTAAAGTTCAATAATTACTCAGAATCATTTTAAAGTTCAATGACTAATGAAATATGTTAGTAAATGATGTAGTGCAATGTGTTTAAATTTAGTGACTACTTGAAAACATTTTAAAATTCAACGAGTAAAGTATGACGAAAGTATAAATTCATTGACTAATAAAACATGTAAGTCCATAAATAAGAACTTGCATGGTGAACTCCATGTAGATTATAAATATTTATACTCTACAAATAATTAGATGTGGGATAACTTCCATCTTTAAAGTTACGTGGAATTTTTTTAGTTATTTTAAGAATATAAAAAATACTTATGCTGTAGTACTTAATACATAGATAAAACTTATTGGAGACTAATTTTTGAATTGTCTTTATGTTTCATCAAACATCAGCGCTGCTTAGACATGCTCGACTAGGAAAATCAATGTAAATGGCACTAAGAAAGAAAGAAATTTTTACCAACTGTTTTGTCAGCTTATTCTTGGTCCTAGTGTAGATTAAAATTAATTTTTTTAGTAAATTTTAAAAGTGTTGTTAAAAAATTGAGAATTCCATAAAATTTGTGGTTAAAATTATTTATTGACTATGACTTAAAATTTTTATCAAATTTTCATCCATACCAAATGTGACTTTATGACACTTTTGTATTAAAAAAGAAAAGAAAAACTAAAATTGTGTGTTATATACCATTGAATCTTGTGCTTCATACTAGAATGAGCTGTTATTTGGTGGCCTTTAATTTGGAAAAACTATGTTTTGAATAATATTTTTTGGAAAATGTATGATTAAAAAGTAGATAAAAGTATTGAATTTATATGTAAAATATTTTATAATGTGACTGTGTAATTGAAAATGAGTATGAGAAATAAACTAAATTAAAAGCCACCAAACATGGCTGAATAATTTGCAATGGCATGCTAGTAAATAGAGCGGAGCTCCTGTCACACACACACACATATATATCATTTTAAGGTGTGCTTCGCCAAACGTAAAAGAATATATATTTTCATTTATTTCACATCACAAGAAATCGAATACATGCATCTCTCCAAGAAAATAACTGTCTCCGTAAAACTTGAACACAAGATCAGCAAAAAAAGAAATAGAACATCAGTGTTAAAAATAATGATACGATATCAAGAACACATTAGCTTCTATTCAGAGTAACCTCTTCCCCCCATCCCCAATTCTAACACTCTCCCCTCAGCTCTCGGACTACAAAAACAAGTAGAATCCATCAAGATATTGATGTGACCCGGACTGAGTGATCAGCTGACCCAGTCAAGAAGATGGGCAACGTCGGATGCCAGTCCACTGTTGTTATAGGTCCACTGTGAGAAAGAGTTCTCATTCCATTCATATGACCTCGAACCTGTCAACAGGAAAGGGAATATACATCATTGAGCCCTCTTGTTATAGAACCACAAAAGAAGCATATATTTAGAGTAAAAAAAGCTATTTATTTTGGAAGTAAATCTCACCTTATTTCAAATAAAGTAACAAACTTATTTCCAAATTTGACCAATGAAATAAATTATTTACAGCAAAACTTAGCCATTTACTTGTATGTAAACTTTTTAAGCTTGGGCAAAACATGGTCGATATGTTGCAAGCAAAGAAACAAAGCTAGTTATGTACAACTGTATAATTAGAGAAACATTTACCTGGTATATGGGCGCGCTTACTGAATTAGATGTCACCAGAAGTCTTCGCCCTTTAGCATCTAATGCCATTTCATGTTTAAACTGTGACGAATTCTCAGGGTCGTAGAATCTACGAAAACAAAAAGATTAGAATAGACTACACGTTTGTCACAGGTTATGACAGTTCAAAATTCTTTAGTCACCATACCAAACTATCTTGCCAGATTATTTCAATTATCAAAGGTCAATTTTCTGACAAACAGATCCAACAATCATTGTTTAGCAATCTTAGTATGCATCATGGCTGAAGAAACCAATTTCCTCACAGGATAATGTGAGCGTGTGTGGGTCATTTCATAGTAGTATAATGAACACTACAAAAAAAAAAAAAAAACCTCCTACCTGTTGCAATTTCTTGACCAAAGAATTTTACCTTGACTTTGCAAGCTCCATTCAATTATCTGTTACACCCAGTACAAAGTCAGATACACTAAATGCTTAATGCCAATTTTTACAGGCGTAAAAAGCGGACCCAATGGTATCATAAAAGAGACTTCAATGTATAACTGATTGTTGCTAAAACTTATTGCCTTTCCATCGGTGCCCAAGCTAAAGATACTGGTCTCATCAGGCCCGAAAAGAACAGAACCAATCGCCAAATCATGAGCAGGCCACCCAGTTACTTGCAGGCCAGCAGACATATCTTTCTCTAGTTAAGGCATATCTATTTATTCATAAATCTGAAATTATTAGAGCTGTGATTGATGTGTGAACAATTCCATTCTGTTGAAGATTAAAAAGGATACCAAACATATGAATCATCCCATCAGTTGCAGCAGCTGCTAAAAGCTTTCCATTGTGATTAAAACACAGTGAAGTAATTGCTGGTGGATCTTTACCAAGTGGAAGCACAGCCTTAAATAAAATTGAAAGGAATTAAGGCCTTGTAACTTTTATCCAGAACGATAAAAAAATGGAACAGGTTTAGAGTAAAAGGACTTCTGCATTCACGCACAATTTTTTCTGCAACACTAAAACACGTACCATGGCCTTCCATGTCCTCATATTCCATACAGTTAATGATGCGAAGCCAAGTTTATCATAATAACTTGTCCCCTGCCTGCAAACATGATGTAGACCATATTGTTGAAAAATTGGATCAAAATGGGGAAAAAGTAATAGTGTAGAGAGAACATCTAAATTTCGTTTGGGCTCATAATAGCATTCCGGAAACAGGACGACGACACGAGTAATACTCATCGCTATGCCATGATGTACGACGGATTTCGGCCATCCGAATTCGTTTAGGACTCGAAAAATAATTTTTAAAGTTTTAGTGTTATTTTTGTCATTTAGTTTATTTTGAACTCCTTTCTAATTTTAGTTTGTTAAAACTAAGTTTCATTAGTTTTAGTCCTATGAAACTAGGTTTTCATGTAAACCCTTATAAATAAAGGGTTATCTCATTGTTCTTTTATTATCTTTTATTAATAAAACTTGTGAGTTTAATTTTTCATAATTTGGTGGATTCCAAATTCGTGTTCTTAAGGTTTTTGCTTGAATTCCTTGTTTCGCGCTGCGTCTAATGGTATAAGAGCCAGGTTTTCCCGTCTCTATATCTTTGATTCATAAGCATAGGTGATGTACCAGTTACTAGGGCAGATTTGGACGCAACAAACCGTCATCTTGACGATCTTACTACTCAAATCTAAGAAATTCGTCAACTATTTCTACGAGGCAGTGGAAACAATGGACAGAATGAATAACAAGCAAACAACAATGAACAGATCGTTGAGCCTGTAGGTTGGGGATGAAATAATATGAGACATGTAGTAGAAAAAAGTGAATCAGAGTATGAGGAGTTTTTAGCGGTGCCGCGTGATCAACAAAATCGAAATACCTTTGATGATTATCGGATTAAAGCAAATATTCCCCCGTTCTTTGATAACCTGAAAATCGAGGACTTTTTGGATTCGTTGATCGAGGTTGAACGGTTTTCCAAATTATGGATGTGACAGAGAACAAGATGGTTAAGGGGGTGGCGTTCCGTATGAAATCGGCAGCGGCATTATGGTGGGATCAATTATAGAATACTTGGAGGAGACAAGAGAGAGTCGGATTCGGACTTGGAGAAAGAAGAAATAGTGTATGTTAGGTCAGTTCCTACATGCAGATTACGAACAAATTTTTGTATCGTGTGTACCTGGGATGCATGCAAGGCAGTCGCACAATATCGGACTATACCAACGAGTATGTGCGGTTGGTAGAGCGAAACAATCTGTTAGAATCCGAAAATCAGAGGATAACCAGGTATACTAGTAGTTTGAAGGTTGCTCTTCAAGATAGAATTGGGTTGCAAAATATTTGGACGTTGCAGGAAGCCATTAACATGGCGACGAAGGCTGAGATCATGGAATTTGATAAGAGGGCGACCACCTATAGGAGAGTTTCCCGCCTTACTAAACCATCATCGTCTGTTCCTTTGGACAAAAGGAAGGCCCCACTACAAACTCCAGCCAACTCTAACAAGAACAATGTTGACAACAATGGTCAATTTGGAAACAGAGGTCAAACCCAAGGTAAACCTCAGAATGCAAATCCGTATGCTAAGCCCATAGGAAATATTTGTTATAGATGCCACAAACCTGGGCATTGTTTCAATAAATGCCTGGTAAAAAAGCAGGTCAATTCGGTGGGGCTAGAGACATAGGATGAGGAAGAAGATACTGAAGTGGAAGGTGAGTATGTAGGAGTTGAGTTTGCTGTTGAGGAAGGTGTGAAGAGGCTTACTTTGGTATTGCAGCAGATCCTTTTGTCATGTGGGGAAGAAGGGCATCGTCACTGCATTTTTCAATCTCTTTGTTTTGTGAAGAATAAGGTGTGTGAAGTGATTGTAGACAATGAAAGCTGTGAAAAATTTGTATCGCGGAGGTTGGTAAATTTGTTGAAGTTACCTACTGCGAACCATCTTAAACCTTATTCCCTGGTTGGGTGAAAAAAAGTCCTCATGTTTAAGTTATTGAAACTTACAAAGTACTCGTTTCCAATGGTAAGCATTATAAGGATGAGATTGTGTGATGTTATAGACATGGATGCTTGTCATATCCTACTGGGTCGTCAATGATAGTTTGATGTGGATTCAACTCTCAAGGGGCGTGATAATGTGGTACTCTTTTCATGGGGTAGTCATAAGATCGCTGTAGTTCCTCTCAAACAGTCGGAGAAGTCTAACCAACAACGAATAGAGAGTTTCCTTACCTTTGCAAATAATGAGAAGGAGATTGTAGATTCTGTAATCTGATTGCAGTGGTGGTTAAGGGCCTTTTTCCTGCATTTAAGGAAGAAGAGAGTGATTCACCTGAGGCACAAGAGATATTGACAGAATTTCAAGATTTGGTCTTCGATGAACTGCCGAATGAGTTACCTCCCATGAGGAATACTCAGCGCTTGATTGATTTGGTATATGGGGCTAGTCTTCCAAATTTGCCTCATTATCAAATGAGTACGAAGGAGAATGAGATATTGAAGGAGCAAATTGAGGGGTTGTCGAGGAGAAGATCCATAAGAGAGAGTACGAGTCTGTATGTAGTACCTATTCTCTTAGTGCCAAAGAAGGATGGAAAGTAGCGTATGTGTGTTGACAGCTGTGCCATAAAAAAGATAACAGTGAAATACAAGTTTCCCATTCCACGGTTGGAGGACATGCTAGACATGCTTGGTGGTTCTAAGATCTTTTCAAAAATAGATCTTCGCAGTGGTTACCACCAGATCTGCATTAATCTAGGGAACGAATGGAAGACTGCCTTCAAGAGCAAGGATGAACTTTATGAATGGTTGGTGATGCCATTCGGGTTGTCAAATGCCCCGAATACCTTCATAAGATTGATGAACTAGTTTCTTCGTCCTTTCATTGGGTCTTTTGTTGTGGTTTATTTCGATTACATATTCATTTACAGCATGTCCAAAGAAGATGACTTGGTCAATTGAGGCAAGTCTTAGATGTTCTTAAGGAGAATCGGCTGTACATCAACCTGAAGAAGTGCACTTTTTGTACAAGTAAACTGCTGTTCCTAGGCTTTGTGGTTGGTGAAGAGGGTCTATAGGTGGATGAAGAGAAGACGAGCAATCCAAGATTGGCCAACACCAAAATCAGTTTATGAAGTAAGGAGTTTCCATGGTTTAACAACATTCTATAGGCGATTTATCAGGAATTTCACTATTGTGGCACCACACACAGAATGTTTGAAGAATGGGAGATTCAGTTGGGGAGAGGAGCAAGATAAAAAATTTGCTTTCATCAAGGAAAAGTTGTGCACAACTTCAGTATTAGTCTTGCCAAGTTCGAGAAGATCTTTGGGGTGGAGTGTGAGGTTAGTGGTGTGGGTCTTGGAGATGTCCTTTCCCAAGAGAAGAGGCATATGGCTTTCTTTTCAAAAAAGTCGAGTGATGCTAAGCAGAAGTGGAATACTTATGAGCAGGAATTCTATGCAATGGTAAGGGCTTTGGATCAATGGGAACGCTACCTTATACAAAATGAGTTTGTGTTGTTCACTGATCACCAAGCCCTAAAGTTTATTCATAGTCAGAAACATATCAACGGAATGCATGCTCGGTGGGTGACTTTACTCCCGAATTTTCCTTTTATGACATAAATCTGAGAATTGGAATAGAGTTGTTGATGCTCTTAGCTGGAGAGCCTCATTGCTAGTTACACTGACACAGGAAATTGTTGGATTTGAGTGCCTGAAGGAACTATATGCAGATGATCCTGACTTTAAGGAGATTTGGAGCATGTGAATCGTACAGTGACATATTTCTATATCTGTGATGGATATTTGTTCAAGGGCAACCAGCTTTCCATTTCCGTTTCATCTCTGCGTGAAAAGTTGATTTGAGATCTACATAGTGGAGGTCTAAGTGGACACTTGGGGCGTAACAAGACAATAGCCAATTTGGAAGTTAGGTATTATTGGCTACAATTAAAGCGATATGTTGGAGTTATAATAAGAAAATGCTATACTTGTCGAGTGTCAAGTGCAGAATACCGAGTTATACATGCCACTTCGTGTCCCTTAGGGCATATGGCAAGATCTTGTTATGGATTTCGTTCTGGGATTACTTCGTACTCAACGGGGCGTAGATTCTGTTTTTGTGGTGGTTGACGTTCTCCGAGATGGCTCACTTTATAGCTTGTCGAAAGACCTCAGATGCATCACATATTGCCAAACTATTTTTCAAGGAGGTTGTTCGATTGCATAGAGTTCCCAAGTCTATCACGTCAAATCAAGATATAAAGTTTGTGGGACGCTTGGATTACATTGTGAAAGTTGTTTGGAACGACTTTGAATCGAAGCAACACCGTCTATCCTCAGACTGATGGACAGACCGAAGTCACTAACTATATCCTTGGAAATATGGTTCGATGTGTTTGTGGAGATAAGCCCAAACAGTGGGATCTTGCACTACCTCAGGTCGAGTTTGCATACAACATTGCGATTCATAATGCTACAGGCGAGTCCCTGTTTGCTATTGTGTATACAGAGGTTCCTTACCATGTTGTGGAATTGGTGAAGTTGCTCGGGGGCAATTGTAAAAGTGTGGCTATAGAACATTTGGCAGAAGAGGTGCTAGCAGTCCGTGATAAAGTAAAGTAGAAATTGTAGAACACTAATGCAAAGTATAAGGCAACGATAGATTCACATAGTCGGGACAAATAATTGGAAGGAGATTTAGTGATGGCGTTTCTGAGAAATGAGAGGTTTCCCTTTGGTACTTACAACAAGCTGAAACCAAGAAAGTATGGGCCTTTCAAAGTGCTTAAGCGGATTAACAACAATGCCTACATTATTGATTTACCAGCTTCTATCGGTATTTATCGAACGTTTAATGTGGCGGATTTGTATGAGTTCCATAAAGATGATGAGCCTTTATATCTAGATTATAACTCGGGGTCAAGTTCTTCGGAGGTGGAAGAGACTGATGTAGAACATGTTGTTGAAGAATCGAATCAAAATTGGGAAAAAGTAATAGTGCAAAGAGAACATCTGAATTTCGGTTTGGCTAATAATAGCATTCCGAAAAGAGGACGACGATACGAGTAATACTCATCGCTATGCCATGAAGTACGAGGAATTTCGGCCATCCGAGTTCATTTAGGACTCGAAAACTAATTTTTAAAGTTTTAGAGCTATTTTTGTCATTTAGTTTATTTTGAATTCTTTTCGAATTTTAGTTTGTTTAAACTAGGTTTTCATTAGTTTTAGTCCTATTAAACTAGGTTTTCATATAAACCCTTACAGATAAAAGGGTTATGTCATTCTGTTTTTATCTTTCATTAGTAAAACTCGTGACTCGTGAGTTTAATTTTTCATAATTTGGTGAATTCCAAAATTCGTGTTCTTGAGATTTTCGCTTGAATTCCTTGTTTCGCACTGCGTCAAATCATAATGAAAGGTTTTTATGGCATGAACAGATAATAATAGACATTGCACATAAGATTTTTCCATAACAAGAGAAAATATAAAGTCACTGTTCATCGGGTCAGCATTTTTATCAACAGCATAATATGCCACAAAAATACTCAATAACAGTCAGAGAATCATTCAGCCTAAACATTGGAGACAACATAAGAGGTCCAATGATATATTAGAACAAAAGTTCATTTGAATTTACCGTCTGGATGCTGCTGCAGAAACAAAAATCGGCTCCACAGGGCTGCATTTCAGGTCCAATATACTGAATGATAAAAATTACAAGTAAAAAACCACAAAAGGGTATGTGTTCATTCTTCCCACGCTAATGCTGGGAGAAGTTTAAGCAAGGAAGAGTGAGGGGCAGAGGGTGAGAGAAAGGGAAGACAGAGTAGAAGGACAAAAGAAGAACAACATGAGAATTGAGAACCTTGGGTATGCTTCAGCTGAGTTGAGATCACAAACAACTCGTTTTGCATCAACATTCCATGCTTTAATGCCTCCATCAGCAGTGCCTATGAGTAGCTTTAGTCAAATAAACAATCAAATGCATATCAAATGTCCACTCTCAAATAATCAAAACATAATTCTATAAATCTTGACAAACAATTATCATCTTTGCGTGTACAATTATAACACCTGGTGACATACCAAACGATCTGACTTGCAGTCCCACTCAAGAGACATGATCTCTGCTCCACAATAGATGGTTGCATTTTTAGATGCTGGTGCTGATGAATCGTATGTCCATATCCTTCATTAAACACATGGAATCAATAAGGAGAAGAAGATCAAAGAGTTTGCAACACTTCTATAATTACTAACTTGGAGTTCAAGTGAGCTACAACTTTATCAAATGTAATCCTTGGTTTTCTTGGGAGTACATTGCCACCTCGAACAAATATATACCTCACAGTGCCATCCATAGAAGCACTTGCAATATTTTCTCCAGTTGCAGAAAAGCGACAACAGTTGATTGGATTTGTGTGTCCCAGGAATGTGTCCTGAAAATGAAGGATGATACAAACTTCAAGTGAAAAAATATTAAGGAAGTAATAAAGTTGCAAAAAGGTCTTAAAACAGGCAAAAGAGAGATAAAATATTTCTTAAAAATTAAAACTTAAGAACTCGTTATGATTTTTAACCTAGAAAACTTTACCTGGAAAACAGCTTTCACTTCTGGAAACTTTTCTTCTCCTTCTACGTTTGAGCTACTTTCTGTAACCACAAGTGACTATATCAAATTCCTTCACGACCAACATCATCGTGTAGTTCAAAACAAATTAAGGCCATCTTATTCCAAACTCTTGCATTCAAATAATAAATAACCAACCAGTTGCTCAAGCCATCTCTCCAACAAACTATATTATCATTCAGATCGGCACCTCATAGCAACTCTTAATTGGTTATGGCAATCAAACTCAAGCAACTTCTCTACCTAAGCCCTTGTTTGAGCCCCATTTTTGTAAGAAAATGTATTTTGGAATAGTGATTTTTTTTGGAAAATGTGTGGTTAAACAACGTGGAAAAATTTTCGATTTAAGTGTAAAATTATTTTATGAGAGAATGTGTGATTGAAAATGAGTTTTGAAAAAATAAGTTTTTTAAAAAATCGGGGCAAAACATAGGCAAATATTGTAAATCATCCCATAATACATTATCCCTGATCAAAAAACCTTTCAGAAAGATATATAGGTTGGTTAACTTCATTGTTATCACACAAAATTCCATCTAGGGCCAAAAAGCCACATGTAGGGCACTCTCTTGACCTATTCTAGAGGTGGCAATCTAGCTGAGTTGCTCGACATGGCTCGATAGGCAAGCCGAGAAACCCACAAGAAGGCTTGGCGAGCCACAAGCTCGAGCCTAAAATGATCAGTGTTTGGTCACTTTATTAAAAGTTCACAACCGTTTTCACAAACTTTTTAAAGTGACCGCGGACGCCGAATTTTTTTCTTCTATAAATACCTCACAATTACAAACCATTTTTTCACACAATAATCAACAAACTATCTACACTCTTCTACATTCTGTCTACAATCAAAATGTCAAATTACTATCAATTATTCAATTCTATTACATACATTATATAGTTTCTAATACATACACGCACATTCTATTACATTCAATTCTATATCTATTAAAATACATTCTCTCAATTCTATTCTCTATACTACATTCTACATGATCCAATTTATACCTTTCATCTTCATTCAAATTACATTCTCTACTATGATTCTATTTTTTCTTATTCTTAATATACATTCTATTGTATTACATACACGAGGATCCTAATACTTTTGTTGAGGGTTTGTTTGGTAGCCACTCACCTATAACGTCACAATCTCAATTTCACAATGAAATTGCCAATCTCAATGACGTCCCCATTCTCGACGATTTGCCTCACGAAAATATTCATCCAATTGATTTGGGCGACACTGATGAAGATGCTGCCCAACTAAAACAAGAAATTTCTGATGCAAGAGGGAAGCGAAAGGGAAAAAAAAGTTGGAAAGTGCTGGAATGCTTTAAATGGAAACGGGTCGTATAGTGATGGAGTTGAAGAGTGTAATGCAGTGTGTAACTATTGCCAAACACAATTGACGTGGCGAAACTATATCGATACTACCCACCTCAATCGTCACTACCTCAAATGTACGGTCAAATATAGGCTTGTTAGTGTATCTCAAACACAATTGCAATTTGATACTCCTTCCAGTTCCGATTCGTAGGCATTCGGAGGAAAAAACTTGAAAAGGAATGGTGAAGTTCATTGTTGGTGCTGAGTTGCCACTAAGCATAGTGGACAACAACCATTGCACAGCATTTGATAAGAATATCGTCAACTAAGGTACGTTGAGGTAAGTAGAAACGGTATTCGTAATGATACCTTAAATTATTTCATTAAAACCAAGAATCAATTGATCTACGATTTAAAGAAATATGGTGGTGTTATCTTGTTTACTTCAAATTTATGGTAAGACATTAATAAATAAAAAAAATAAAGACCCAATTTAGTTACAACTGCACACTACATAGACCCAATTTGTGTTATGCATAAAAAATAATTTCTTTTAAGATAATTGAGTTTTCTCATAATGATAAACAACATTTTTAATGCTTTTAAGCAAATTATTAAAGTAGAAGAGAGGGGCTCAAATATTCAGATTCATTTAAATCTAGTTGGGTGAACATCCAACCAGAAATTATTATATTCGTGATTCTTCATCCATCGATGCAGAAAATGCTCTAGTTTTCTATTCAGGTTTTCATGAGGCTGGTCTTGAGCTGCCATACAAGCACCAATACCTTTGTTTAATAGAATATTTTTGGTTTAGAAAGTCTTAACTAATTCAAATTAGTCCGAGAGCGCCTAAGAATGAGGATCGGGAAAGGCAGCTCAGAGATTAGCAGAGTTTATGGAATCTGAGCCACAATTAAGAGTTTCCTCATAATGCTAACAACAGTTTTAATGCTTTTATTCAAGTTATTAAAAAATATCGTTGTGAAATAAAATTCATTCTTTTACATTTGATAACATTAGTGTTAATAAGCATGTTATAAATAAACTGTGTAGGATTATTAATCCTAATTTTTGTGTTTTCTATTTCATGTTCGTTTGCGTATGTCACATTCTTAATTTAATTGTGTAAGATGGTAGGAAACAAATTAAAGTCAAATGGATGGAATTGGGGATGCACTAATATATATCACCATCTAACCAAGTAGGAAATAAGCATTTGAGGAATATTGTGCACGAGTTAGCCAAGATTCCAAAATATTTGTAACTGACATAAGGCATAGATGGAACTCCACTTAATATTAAAATCATGTAAAGGATATGAACATTTAATTATAGATTTGTATAACTCTAGAATATAAGAAATGACAATTAGTCTATTTTGATTGACGTTGATTGGGAATTAGACTTTAAAGTTAAAAAAAATTGACAAGTTTTTTAAGATTCCACAAATATCTTATCTTGGGTATAGTACCCTACTAGTTTAAGTGTTCTAGAACGTCTTTTTGGTATTGCAAGAACTTTTAGCTTTTACTAATATATTGGAATTAAAGTTGAGAAAATATTGCGAAGACTTGCTTATGTTATTTCCTTTGGCATGCATAATGGACCCTAGGTACAATTTAAAATGTACTAAATATGTTATTATACAAATCACACACTCCTTAAATTTTGACACAAATATCACTTATTCAAATCTAGAAAATAAGTTAACTTCAATGTATGAAGTGTGTGCAAAGCGATTGGATGCAAATATTAGTCGGCCACCCTCCGCACCCACCCCTTCTGCTAATCTTGAACGAGACCATGCAAAACTAGTGAATTTATTTGAAGGCATTAGGGATGAAAGATTTGATGCATGAAGTTATTCTTCTAGTATGTCTCCCGTATATAGTCAAACATTGGATGCAAGTCTAATTGGAATGCGTATTGAATTACTCAAGTACTCGACTATTTTAATCATCAAATGCTTAAGAGCGTAGAGCCTGTTTAGGGGTGGCAATAGTGTAGATATGGGATGGGTCAACCATTCCTGTCCCAGTCCCGTCAGGTATTTTTGTTACCTTGCCATATCTCTATACCTAATTAAAGCGAGACGGGACATGGCAGGATCGAGGTGGGGTGGGGGTTCACCTGCCCCATTTATCACCCCATTTATTTTTTCTTTATTTTATGTCTTTAGTTAGTAAAAATTATTACCTTTTTACCAATTTTTTTTAAAAAAAACTTACGTTCTCTATAAAAATGATATAAATTTATTATATTTGTTTGATAAAAAACTTAAATTTAAAATTAACTTTAAACGAGACGGGTAGTGGGACGAGGACTATGTTTCCTGTACCCACTTTGAGACAATGACCCTCGCCCCGTTTACCCGGCTAGGCGGGTAATTCCCGCCCCAAATGGGGTGGGACCCGCAGGCACTGGGTTGAACGGTTTTTTTGTCATCCATATGCCTATTGATGCAATACAATTTGATTTACTTAACTTTTGACGAAAGAACGAACGAAGATGTCCAATTATTTTTGCGATTGCATAAGATCTACTAATACATCCGGTTAACATTATAGCTTTGTAGTCTACTTTTAGGGTAAGTTAACAAAATCAATTCAAGGTTAGAAGCTGACTCAAAGAATACAATTTGGAAGCATTAACATGCGCAAAGGATTGGCAAAACTCTCATTTTCAAATAAAAAATAAGTTGGCGGAATTGCATGTAATCAAGTAAATGATATTTAATTTCGTCATACAAACTTTGTTATTTTCTTAATAATATTTTGATTTTTAAAAAAATTATATATACAACAAGTTGTTCGTGTACAATTTTAATTCCATCTACTCGAAAATTAAGCCCATGTTTGATGGCTATTATTTTTAAAAAAATGATGTTTTGAATATTATTTTTAGAAAATGTGTGATTAAAAAGTATGAAAAAGTTTTGGATTTACGTGAAAATATTGTATTATATGAACGTGTGGTTGAAAATAAGTACGAAAATTAAAAAAATTTGTTTTAAAGAGGGACAAACATGGGCTAAGTAGCCAATCCTAAGCCCGTATAAAATGAGGGTTTTCAAAATAAATTTTCAAAATAATTTCATATCTAATTTCAAATCTCAATTCAATTTATTATTTATACATTTTACTTCTACAACTTTATACATTTCATATTCATACAATTCAATTATTCAAACCTCATATCAATTCTCTACATTCAATTTAATGAAAACAAAGAATGCTGCATTTTTTAAAATCAAGCCTATGAAAACAATGAACCTATTTCCTCAAGTTCCAGATATCATCATTGAAAGAGCACATTTCATTAACGATACCTGGAACTTGAGGAAATGGATTCTTTGTTCTCATATGCTTGATTGAAAAAAAAAAAAAAAAATTGTATATATAACAAATTGTTCGTGTAAAATTTTAACCCCGCCTACTCGAAATTAAGTAGCAAATCCTAAGCCTAGAGAAAAGGAAGAGGGTTTATTTAAAAAAAAACGGCAAGCTTGTAGGCCAATCTCAGCTCTGCTAGACCCACGAGCTCAACTTGTAGCAACTAAGAATTTTAAATTATATAAAAATTATTTTCTCAAAAAACGTGTCGCTAAATTTTAAACCCTAACGTTAAGGTGAAAGCGTGTTCGTCTAGCCGTTATAAAACAAATTTAAATCTATTTCAAATCTAGCCCAATCCCGAATATTTTACATGTATCCAATTCCTTATCATATAAAGTCCAATTATGTTAGTCCAAATATTGATATTTTGGTCCAATTTCACTTAGGCCCAATTAGGAAAACTCACAGCCCAACTTCTGGCCCAATGGGTTACCTAGATATTTGTGCCTAAATTTACTATTTTATTTACCATCATTTCCCTCCACTCCTCACACCTCACACAACAGCCAAATTTGGTAAGAAAATTTCATCTTCTCCAAGCATACTCCTCAATCCATTTACAGTGAGCTCACTATTGATGCTAGAACATCAATTTCTAGCATCAAAAAGAGACACACAAGCTAAATCCATTCACTGTAAGTCACCATTGATGCTAGACATCCATTCCTAGCATCAACAGTGAACTCACAAACTGCAACTCAATGTAGCCCTTTCATCAACACCACCATCTCCTCACCACCACAATATCTGCACTGCATAACACCACCACAACATCACCAACACACCCAGCACCACAACCAACACACGACTACCATCCCAGCAGAACACCTAACTCCAACTCCACCAACCCGACTGCAAACCTAAGCTGCAGCCATCCACCCCACCATCAACAATCCAAACCCAATTGCAAACACACACGAGCTTCAACCTAAGTTTCGAACACCAAGCTACAGCCAA